GTGAAGATAAGGGATGTTTTAATTTATAAGGGGGGAGGAGGGGGGGAGGAGGGAGGGGATTGAAATATGTGTTAGGGAAGGGGAGTAAGGTAGGGATTAAATTTTTTGTTGTGAATGGTGTGGAGGGATTGTTAAGAAGAGGAATGATATTGGGGGGGATATTGGGGTGGGGGATGGAATATTAGGTTGATGATGGGGAATTATTTATTGTGTTTTGTTTGTTATGAGATATTAATTGATAGAAGGAGTTTTAGGGATTGGTGGTAGATATGTTTGGAGGAATGTGTGGTTTGTTATGGTAGAGTTTTTGGTGTTTTGTAAATGGGGGGGGGGGAGTGGATGTGATATATTGGGATGGTGTAGTTATGAGGAGTGTTGGTGGGGGTTTTGTTGGATTGAGGGGAGGGTTTTGGTTAAATTGGATTGGTTTTTTTTTGTGGTATGAGATATGTTTTTAAAAGGTAGGGTTATTATAATTGTGGGGGGGGGTTAGATGGGGAAAATGGGTAATATTGTAGGATTAGATTTGTGTTAGAGTGGAATGGGGGTAATGGTTGAAGGGATATGAAGGGGGAGATGGGGATAGGGAAATTGGAGTGGGTTAGTGAGGTGGGGGGGGGTGGTTGGGGTGTAATGTGGGTGAGTAATATGATATGGAAGAGAGTGGGGGGGGGTTTTTGGTGGATATGGGGGGGAAGAGGGGGGAAGATTAGGGAGGTGGGAGGGTGGGGATGTTTTAGGAAAAGATGATTATTGGTATTTAGTTTTAGTGTTAATTTTGGAGGGGGTAGTTTTGTTATGAATGGAGGGGTTTGAGGGAGTGGGATTGTGGGAAGTGGTTATATGTGGAGGGGGAATGTTTTGTTGTTGTTTTTGATGATTTTGGGAGGATATGTGGTTAAGGGAGTTGTAGGGATGGATTGTGGTTGGGGGTTGGGGTTAGGGTTAAATGGGGTTTTAATTAGGGGGTGGGGGGTGGAGGGAAGGTATTTTGGAATGTGTGTGGGTGTTTTTGTTTTTTTTGATGTATGAGATATGATTATTGAGATTGATTATATTTGAATATAGGGGGGTGGGATGTAATGGTAATTTGTTATGATATGGTGGAATAGAGGGGGAGAAGAGAGGAAAGGGGGAGATTGTTTATTAGATTTATATAGGAGGGTATTGAGATAATGGAAATATAATTTGTAGGTTTGGTATTGGGGTAATGTGTTAATTAGATTAGAGTTATATGGATTTTAAGAGGAGGGGAATTGTGATGTAGGGTAGGTATAGGGAATTGTGGGTTTGAGTTATTGAGGAGTTTTTGTAGGTGATTAAAGATGGGGTTTTGAATGGTTTTTATGGAGGTAGGATTTATTTTAGTTATGGGGTGTGGTAGAGGGGGGGTGGAGGGGGGGAGTGGGTTTTTTGTTTAATTAAATGGGGGGGGGGTGGGTAGGTGTGTTGTGGGAGGAGTTGTGGTATGTGGGGAGGGGGGGGGGGGTGGGTTGAGAAGATTATTTAATTATTAGTGGTGGAGGGGCTTGTGATGTGTGGTATTTTTTTTTATATTGTTGTGTATTTATGTTTTTTTTGAAGTTTTATGGTTTTAAATATGGTGGTTTTTGTTTTATGAAATTTAAGATGGATTTTGTGGTTTGGTGTTTTGAGGATTGTGATATATTTTATGTTAGGGGTGGTTAAGTGGTGGGGTATATAGGAATTGGTGTTAAATAAGATATGGGGGTTATGGTGAATGTTTGATTTAAAGTTAAGGAAGAAAAGAAAACTGAGTAGAGTTAATAATGGTGATTAAGAAAGGTAGGAATATGTGATGGTTGGTTATTATGGGTAATATTATGGATAGGTGTAGGGGGGGGAGTGATGGGGTTGTATGGGTTATTAGGAGTATGGGTTTGGGAGGGGAGAGGTGATATGTTGAATGGATGTTAATGTGGGTATTTGGGTGAGTCGGAAGGAAGGATGGTAGATTAGGGGATGATTTTGTGGTTGGGGGTGGGGGGTTGTGGTGTTGAGTTTGGGTGATGGGAGGGTGGAGTGTATGAGTGAGGGGGTTGTGTGAGGGGAAATATGATAATTTGTTTTATGGTGGGAGGTTTTAGGGGTTAAAAAGTTTTATGTAAGGTTAGATTGGTTGGGAAAGAAGTGGGATTTATGTAGAAAATATGGGAATAATGGTTTTTTGGGGTAGTTGTGTGATAGGTAAATAATTGTGGGGTAGTTTTAGTTAGTTTGAATATAATTGGAGTTTTGTAGGGTAGGGAAGTCTGGAAGATGATTTTTTTGGGGGGGTGAGGGGGGAGGGGAACGTTGAAGAAGTTGGTGTGGGGGATTGGTGGTAGGTTTGATAATTTTGATAATTTTGGGGATTTTTGTATTATTGGGAAAAGTTATGGGGGGATTTAAAGATTGTGGATGGATGAATAAGAGGGAGATGTTTTTTTGGGAGATGATGAAAAATTATGTGTTGTTTATTGTTAAGAGTTAGGGGTTTTGTAGTTTTAGGATGGGGTAGGTGGTTGAGGATTGGAAATATAAGGGTAGTGTGGGATGGGAAGTGTGGGAGATTGGTTATATTTGTGGTATTTTGAGGGGGGGATGAATACGGTTATGGGGAATGTGTTGGTTTGTAGGGGTGGGTTGAAGATGGGTAAGGGGAAAGTTTTGTGAGGGGGGGGATGGAGGTGAATTTTGTTGTTTTTTAATGGGTTATGTTTTGGGTTGGATGTTAAAATATAATTGAGGTTGGTGATGTGAGTATATGGGTGAAGGTTGTTCAGTTTTTTATGATGGTTATATATGGGTATGGGGGTGTAGGTAGGTATGTGGGGGTAGGGGGTGGGGGGTGGGGGGGTGGTAGGAGGTGTGAAATGGTAGTGAATGGTTGAGGAGATAATTGGGTAAACTATATTTTTATTACGGGTTATTTATGGGTGAAGTTATGGGAGTGTTATTGTATTGTTAGATTAGATGAGGTGGGGGGTGTGGGTTTGATGAGTAAGAAGAGAAATATAAGGGGTAGAATTAGGGATAAGATAAGGGTGATGAAGGGAGGAATGAATGGAGGTAAAATGAGGAGGATATGGAAAGTTTAGGAATGTGAGTTTATAATAGGAAAAATAAGAATAAATATGAGTGAGTTATAAAAGATGGAGGGGTGTATTGAAAAGGAAAAGTTAATAAAGAAGGTAGGGTATATGGAGAGGATTTAGTAGTATGAGAGGGGGGGTGGGGGGGATGTGAAAGATGATTTGTATGGGGATTTAGGTAGGTAAGGGGAAGTTTGATATTGATGGGTTAGGAAAAGGGGAGGAAGAGATGTTTTTATAGGAGAGAGGGAAGGGATGAAGAAGGGAGAAGGGAATGATGGTGTAGATTAGATTTGGGGTATTTTTAAATATGATTGTTAGTTTATTGATTGAGTGTTAGGAGGGGGTGAGGGGGAATGGATGGGTGGGGAGTAGGGGGTTGTTGATAAAGGGTGGGGGGGGGGGTGAATATATTTTTGGTTTGGGATTGGATATGAGGGATAAATTAGATTGTGGTTATGAAATATTGGAAGATGTTGTTGGGAGGGGTGAGAAATATGGGGGGTAGGTATGTGGGTTGATGTATATGTTTGATGTATATGATTGGGAATGATGAATTATGAAGGGAATAAGAATGTTTGATTGGGTTGGGGAGAAATTGTATATATTTATATTATAATGGGTGAGGGGTGTTGTTTGTTTAATGAGAGGGAGTTGTAGGTGTTTTGGTGTGTATAAAAGGGTAGGTTTAGGTTGAGGTGGGATTTGGTGGGGTATGGGGAAAAGTGGGGGGTGGGGGGATTGGGTGGGAAAAAAGAGTACTGGGGTAATTATTTTGAAGGTGAAAGGGGAATTTGGTGGGGGGGGAGTGTTTGAGGATTAAATGATGAGGGGTTGGGATTAAAATGTGTGGAATTGGATAGTGTGAGGGCTAGGGGGGATATAGTTAGGAATGTATTGGGAAGGGGGGGGTTTGATTGGGATGTTGAATATTTGGGAGGTTGTGAATGTGAATGGAAGGGGATTTTGTGGATAATAAGGTAAAGGGGATATTAAGAATAGGGAAGAATTTAGGGGTTATTAAGAGGCGTGGGTAAGAAATGAGTGAGTGAGTGTAATGGGAAGGGAATTTTAGTGTTATAGATAGTTTAGTATGGTTTTAGGGTTATGATTTTGTATAGGAGAAGGGTGTAAAATTAGAGTTGTATGTAAAGTTTGTGATTTTGATGTTGAGAGTTTTGGATGACGTAATGGTGAGGTATTAATGGGGGTAAGGATAGATGTGGGGAATTGTTTTATGGGTGGGGGGATGGTTTTAGGTTAATATGGAGTATAAGAGGGATAGGTTGTTTGTTTGGGTGGTATTGGTGGAGAATGGTTATGGTTTAGGGGGGTGGGTATATGGGTGAGTGGGGGGGGAGTATAGGGGATGGTTTGATTGTTAGGTAAGTATTTGATTGGTAGGGAGAGTAGTAGGGGGGGTGGTAATTGTTGTGTGTGGTTGTTTTTAGTGTAGGGATAAAAGATATAAGATGTAGTGATATGGGGAGAGGGGAAAGTAGTTGGATTAGTAAAGGTAAAGGGTGGAAGTTTACTTTTGTGTTATGAGTGGATTGAGTTAGTAATGGAAGTAGGTATTACAATCTGGATGGATTATTGTGTGGGTTAAGTTTAGTAGGTGGTGGAGGGTAGTTAAAAGTTTGAAGAATGATTATGGGTGGGATATGTATTATGTTTGGGGTGAATTTGGAGGGAGGAGAGGGGGGAGTGTGGGGGGGGGGGGGAGTGGGGGGGGGAATGGGAAGAGAGATGGAGGGTTGGATGATGGGGGGTAAGGGTTGTATGAAGAGGGGAGAGGTTATATTAGGTGGGAAAGGGAAAAGGGGGGGAGGATGAATTTTTAGGATTTTTTGGGGTTATGTGGTGAGAAAGGGATAAATATGATGTAGAGGGGGGGATGGAAGAATGTGGATGGAAAAAGTGGAGTATGAGGGTAGGTAGGTTGTGAGAGTGGTGTTTTGTTTAGGTATGGTATGGGGGTTATGTTGTTGGGTGTATTTGATATTTTGTAGGGGGTTTGGGTTATGATTGAAGTTATGTGATGGGAAGATATAGTGGATTGTGGGGTGGGGTGGGTAGGTTTTATGGATTGTTAATGATGGTGTGTATTGTTATGAGTGGGGGGGGGATGGGGGTTGGGGGTGATGTAAGGGTGGTGAGGGTTTTTTTGTTGGGGGGGTTGGGGTGGGTTGTGGGTGTTGTTTGGGGGTATGAGGTTGAGAGGGTGATTATGTTTTGGTGTTTTGTGTATGTGTAAAAGATAGATGAATTTATGAGATATTTGAATTTGTGATTTTTGGTAGTATAGAAGTGATGATTTTGAAATGATGTGTGTGAGGAAAGGATGATAGATGTTTGGGAATTGAGAAGATATTGGGTGATGGGATATAGAATGATGAGGGGTGAATGAAGATAATAAGAAATGATAAGGGGGAGGGGGAGGTAATATGGATGGGTATTTATTGTAGTATGAGATGGGGGAAGAGGATTGTTGGGTGGGGGAAGATGGGAAGGAATGAGGGAGGGGATGTAAGGTAGAGGAAATGAGAGTGAGAGGGAGGTTATATGAAGGGGGGTAAAAGAGATAAGATAGGGTATGGAATTAATAGAAAAGATGATGGTGTATGGAGAATGATTAGTTTAAGAAAATATTGTTATGGGGAGGAAAAGAGGAGGGGTAGAGGTTATAGGAGGTTAAGGAAAAAAAAAGAGTGGTGATGAGGTAGTAAAAGTGGATGGATAGGTAGGGAAATGGTTGATATTTTGGAATGATGTTAGGGAAGGGTAAGGGATAAATGTTTAGAAGTGGGATGTGGGGGATAGTTGGTGTTATTTTTGGGGGGTGGGGGGAGTTTGGGGGTTGGTGGAGGTGGTGGGGAAGGTAGATGAGAATGGAGGGTAAGAGAGGGAGTATGGGAGGGGGTGATTGAGAGTGGTGGGGGTGGTATTGGTGATTGGGGATGTTTGGGGAGTGTTTTTTATATAAGGGGAAGGGGGGGATATTATGGTTAGGGGTATTTAGTTTAATTAAAAAGTTGTAATGGGGGATGTATGTAGTTTTATGTGGGGAAGGAGTATTGGTGGTATGGGAGTGGGAGTTGTTTTTTAATGTTTGGGTTGTTTAAAGGTTTTTATTTTTGTGGGGGGGGGAGTTGGGGGGGGGTGGGATGAATATTTAGATGTGTTTTGTTAGAGTATTTTTGGATAGGAATGATGTAAGGGGAGTGGGGGATGTTGTATTGTGGGGTTTGGGATGTTTAGTTGGGGTTTGTTAGGATAGGGGGATGGGTAGGATTGTGGGTTAGGGGATGTGTTATGTGATATTGGGGTGGTTTGGGGTTATTTGTGATTGTGTGGTAGTTGGTTTTTTTATAGAAATTATTGAATTGTAAAGATTATAGTGTAATAGGTGGAGGGAGTATTAGATTTAGGGATTAGGTTGTAATGATAGTTTTAATTTGGGATATGGATATGTTATGAGAGTTTGATGTTAAGGAAGTTTTTGGGGGATGTATAGTTTTTGTGAATAAGGGGATAAATTAGGTAAGGGGGAGATAGGGAAATTTTAAGAGGGGGTTTAGGAATGAGAGATTGTTAAATGATTTGAGTTATATAATTTTGTTGGGGTATATTAAAGAAAGGGGGGGGGGTTTTGAAGAAATAGGAGAAAGGTGGTATGTTGTTTGGGTTTTGGAGGAGTGATATATTTGGAAGTTTGAGGATAAGGAGGTGAGGATTTATGGGGGGGGATGTGATTATTGGGAATGATATGGGGGAAAGAATTTTAATTTAGAGGGGAAGTTGGAAATTTTTATGGGGGGGAATGTGAGGGTGGAGAATTAGAAGGTTAGGGTTGATGAGAAGGGTGGGTTTTGATATGTAAGGGGAGAATATGTGATTGGAATAGGTTTTATATAGAGGGTTGGTGGGGGGGAGAGGGAGGTTAGAGGGTATAAAGGAAGAGGATTAGGATTAAAGTATGGATTAGTAAGTTTTATGAAGAGGATGGGGTTTGTGGGGGGGAGTTTGGGGTGTTAGATGGTTGAGTTTGTGGGGGTTAGGATAGATTAGATGTGGTGATGGGAGGTTTGTGGTTGGGGGTATAGTAAAAAGAAGAAGTAGGTGAGGGTAGGTGGTGGTGGGGGTAGGGGGGGGGGGGGATGGAGTGATAAGGGGGAAAATTGGGGGGAGGGTATGGATAGTTTAAGAGGGTTTAAGAAAGAAGAATGAGTATAAGATAGGGGGGGGGAAAGGAAAGTAAGGGGGGGGGGGGGGGGGGGGGGGGGAAGGTGAGTGATGAGGTATTTAAGAATAGGAGAAATGGAGAGAAAGGGAATAGGAGGGTAGGTGAAGTGAGTGTGAGAAAGAAGGTATGAAAGGGAGATTTTAATGGGAAAGAATGGGAGAAGTGGGGGAAATAGGGGGGAGTGTGGGGGAAGGATGATGGGGGAGGGGGGGATGGGTGGAATATTTTTAGGGGGGGTGGGAATTTATAGGGTTATGGATTAGGGGTGGTATGGGGGGTTATGGGGGAGTGTGGAGGGTGGGGGGTGTAAGGTTTGAGATGAGGGGGGTGGGATGGGGGGGTTGAAGTGTGTAGTGTGGGTAGTGTATGGTATGTTTGGGTGGTGGTGGTATTTTTTGATGTTGTGTATGGTATGGGTGTTGTGGAGTATATTTATTGGGTGTAGGATTGATGGAATGAATTAGGGGGTATATGTAAGGTTGGATTTTATTATATGGATGGGGATTTGGTGTGGGTGGGAAGGGGTAGAGATGAATTATTATTTATGATTGTTTTTTTTGTAGAGAGATTATTATTATTATTTTTTTTGTTGAGAGGATTATTATATTAGGGTGAGTTTTTTTTGAGAGAGAAGATTATTATGATAGGGTTGTTTTTGGGTTTTGAGAGAGATTATTATTTTGATTTTTTTTTTTGATTAGGGGTATTTGTTTAAGTGTATGGGGTTAATTAGTGTTGTGGGGATGAGGTTGGTTTTGGGGATGGAGGAGGAAAGGGGTATTATTTGTTGGTGTTTTTGGGGGGGGGGGGATGAAAGTGAGATGATGGTGGGGGTAGTGGTGGGGGGGGAGGGGTTGTATTGTATTGTATAGTGTGTGTTTGTGAAGTAATATATGGATGAGATTGTAGGTTATTTTTTATGGGGGGGTTTGATAAATTATTATATGTGATTTTTATTATGTTTTTATATGTTTTTGTGTTTATTTATGGGTTTTAGGAAATATAGGTTTTGGGGGGTTTGGTGTAAGGAATTATAATATGAAGGGGGGGGGGGGGGTATAGTTAGAAATTATTTAAAGAAGGATTAGGGTATTGGTTTTTAGATGTTTTTTAAATGGGGGTTTTTTGGGGTTTTAAGAGGGGGTAAATGGGGGGGGTGGTTTGTGAAGATAAATATAATTTAGTTGGTGATTGTAATTAGTATGTTAGGGGTAATGGGAATAATAAAGATGTAGGGAATGGAGGGGGGGTAATAAGGTTATAGAAATAGGAGGGGGATATGAAGAGGTTGTGTGGAATGGATTGGGAAATGAGTAGAAAATGTTTATATTGGGGTGATTATGGGGTGTATTGGTTATTTATTATGATTTTGAAGTTGTTGAGTTTATTGTTTGTTTGGTGTGTTGTGGAGATTTGTAATGTAGAGAAATAATTATGTATTAATTTGATGATTTGTGGGTTATGTAGTAATGGGGTAAGTAAAGTGTAGGTAAGAAGTAATGTAGTTAAGGGGGGGTTTGGTAGGGGGTTGGGAAGTGGAAGTTGGTGGTTGATGAGGTAGGGAAAAGTATTATGTTTGGAATTGTTATGTTTTTTTTCAGTTGGTTTGTTTGGTGGGGGTTTTTAAGGGGAAGGGTTGGGTTAGTGAAGAATGTTATTTTGGTTAGTGGAATATGTTTTGAGGGGTATGTTGATGAAGAAATATTATTGAGGGGGTAAGGTTTAAAATTTTAGAGAAAGGGGGGGGATATGGGATAGAGGGGGGGTGTGTGTTATAATATTGGGAGTATGTTGTGTTGAATTAATGGGTGGAGGGGGGGAATTTATTTGTTGTGTTTTAGGGGTTGAGGGTTAATATGGGAGAATGGGGAGGTGTTTTATAAGGTGGTTGGGAGAAAGGATGGGGGGGAAGGGTTTGAAGGAGGGGAGGGGGGTTGGAGGGTTAGTGAGTTAAGGATTATGTGGGTTGGGATAAGCTGATTTGAGGGGATTGAATGAGTGGTATTTTGAGTGGTGATAGGGGGAAGTGGATTGGGGGTGGGTGGGTGTGAAGTGGGTGAGTGGGAGGGGGGGTTGGTTTGGAAGGGGTAGGAGGGGAAATTTGAGTTGTTGTGTGGGTAGTTTTAGTAGAATTTGGAAGTTGGGATGGGGTATTAGTTGAGGGGGAGGGGTGGGGGGGTGGTGTAGTTGTGTTTTGTAGGGGTTGAAGGGGTTTTGGGGGTGTGGGTAGTAGGGGTTTTGGGGAGGGGTTGTTGGGATTTGGTATGTGAATATGATAGAGTGGGGTGGTGGATTGGATGTGGTAAGGAGTTGTGTTTTAGGGTTGTGTTGGGGGGGGTTGGGGTGGGGTGGTGGGGTGATGGGTGAGGGGGGAGGATGAATTTGGATGATTTTTATTTGGAGGGGGGAGGGGGGTAGAAAGGGGAGGGTCTGTTATAAAGTTTGGGGGGGGGGGGATGTTTTTTTTGGGGGGGGTTGTTTGGGTTTGGGTATGTGGGGGGGAAAGGTTTTGTTATAGTGGGATAAAGGGTGGTGTAGGGGTTTTTGTTTGGGGGGTTATTTGATTAATATTGGGAGGGAGGAAAGAGGTGTTTTAAATTGTTTGATTTAAGGTGGATTTAGGGGGTTTTGATTGATTTGATTATGAGTTGTTGGTTTTTGGGGGTTTGTGGGGTGGGTTGGGATGTTTTTGTGTTGTATTTGGTGAATGTATATGGAGTGGGGTGTTTGATATATTGTGATTGTAGAATGTGGTATTGATGGTTTGGGTAAGGGTGGTGGGGGGGGATGGTTTGGGGGGTAGGTTGTTGGGGTATGTTTTGGGTATGGTGTGAAGTTGTGGTAGTAGTTGGGGAGGTATGGTTTTGGGGGGATTTGGAAATTATGATTGGGTTGTTTAAGGGAGGGGAGTGAGTGAATGGGAAGATGGAGAAGGAAGTTGGGGGTTGTGGGAATGGGGATGGTTGGAGAGTGTATAATAAAAGAGGAGAAGGAGTATATGGGAAGATATGTTTGGAGAAATTGATAGGAGAATTTAGATATTGGAAAGGAAGGGGGGGAAAGTAGGGGAGAATGATTAATATAGGGGGGTGGGGGGTGTGTTGTAGAGTGGTGGTAGGTTTTAGATTAAATATTGAGGGGATATGGAGGAGGGGAAGTAGAGAGTTGGTTATGAATAGGATGGAAGGGAGGGGTGTTTGTAAGGTTGGGATAGTGGGGTAGAGGGGGTGGGGGTTGGGGGAGGTGGAGGTGTGGGGAAAGAGAGGGTGAAGGGGAGGATTGTTTATGTGGGAGATTTTGGGATTGGATGTGTATTGGATTTGATTGGATTGGATAGGATGGATTTATGTATTGAGGGGAAGTTTTATGGTTTATAGGTATTATAATTTGTTGGAGTGGAGTGAAAGGAGGTGGGTTGGGGGGTTTAGGATGTTTATTTTGTGGTATGTGGGTATAGGTATTGTGAGATTGAGAAGGGTGTGTAAAATTGAAGAGGGGGTGAGGGGTGGGGGTGGTGGGATGGGATTGGGAGTGGGGTGAGGGTTTGTTGTGTGAGATAGTAGATATGATTGATTAAGAAATGAAAATGTATTTTATTATTTTAAGTGTGTGAGATAAAGTAATTGTTTATGGGGTATTATGGGGGGGGGGGGGGGGTTGGGGGGAGGATATTTTTTTTTGGGTTTAGTGGGGGGGTAAGGGGGGTTGGAATAAGAAGGTAGGATTAAGATTTTTATTTTTTGAGATTTGTTGTATGGTGTGTTTGGATATTAATGTAATTATTATTTTTAGTTGTAATAATTAATTAGTTGGGGATGGGATTGGAGAGTTGTTTGATTGGGTGGATGGGTGGGGTGAGAAGTTATTTATTTGGGTTGGTGTTTTATGTGAGAGTTGGGGATTTGGGGAGAAGGTTAGGTAGGTGAGGGGTATGTGGAGGGGTGTTGGGGGAGATATATTAAGATAAAAGGGATAGGGGGTGAAGTAGTAATGTAATATTTATGGTTAGTAGTGGATGGAATGGGAAAAGTAGTGGTGGGTGTTGTTTTGTGTAATAGATTTGGGTAATTTTGAGAATGGTGGGTTGGTTGAGATGTGGGAATAGAGGTAATATATTGTTGAGTGGGGTTTTATTGTTTATATGGTTTGGTTGATTGGTTGATTGGTTTATGTGTATGGGAGATTGGTAAATATGTGGGGGATGGTGGGGAGGGATAGGGGATGGTTTTTTATAGGGGGGTGTTGAGTATGTGATAAAAAGGTTTATGTGGTTAGGTTGTATGGGGTGGGTGGATGGGGATTTGAGGTGGATTTGGTGGGGATGTGTTGGGGAGGGATAGTTAGGGGGATGTTGGGGATTTGGATAGGGGATGGGGGGATGGGGGATGTGGGAGTGGGGGTTAGAATGGGTGTGGTGTAGTGGATAGGTGGAAAGTGGGAGAATGGTGGAGGGGGGGGGGAAGGAGGAGGATAGGTAAGGTGTGAAAGATTTGAATGGTAGGGGTAGATGTGATGGTGGGATTAGGGGAGGAGGTGTAGGTGAGGTAATATGATGAGAATATTTTGTTGGGGGGGGGTTATTTGGGGTATAATTTGGGTTGAAATGTGGGGGGGAGATTAAGAGATAATAATAAAAGTAGAGAATTGTGTGTTATTGAATTGAAGGGGGATTAAATGATATTAGGGAGGGGGTTTGGGGGGATGAATATGAGGGGGTGGTTTTATTGTTATTTTTGATTAGGGGTTTTAGTGGGGGGTTTGAAGTGTTTGGGTATGGGATTGGGGGGATTTGTAGGGGGATGTGGATTTTTGATGGGTGGATGGAGAATAAATAGAATAGGGATAAGGAGGGGGGGGGGTAAGGATTTTAGGTTAATTTGGGAAAGTGTTGTAGGGTTTGGTGGGGGAAGGAAGGGTGGGGTGTGTGTGGGGGTGATGATTTAGGGTTTGGAAAATAGGTTATTGTTTTTAAGGAGGAGGAGAGGGTGGGGGTGTGGAGATGTGGGGGGGGGGGGTATATTGGGGGAGGGGGTTTTGTGAATGGGGGGGGGGTTGTGTTTTATATGTTGGGTGTATTATGTGATTTTGAGGGAAGGATTTGATTGGTTGGTTGTGGGGGGGGGTGGGAGAAGTGGGGGGAGGAGGGGGAATTGGATGGTAAGTAATTTGGGAGAGGGGGGAATGAGGAGTATATTGAGATGGGGGGGGGGATAATTTTTTGGATATGGATTGGGTAATTTGGGTGGGTGTAGGATTGAGAATAGGGGGGTTATGAGTTTGGTAATGTAGAGAAAGTTTTATATTATGAAAAGGAATGGAAGGAGTGAGGGATGAAAAAGTTGGAGAATTGAAAGAGGAAAGGTTGGTAAGGGGGGTATGGAAGAATAAGGGAAGGGGGGAGAAGAGGAGGGGGGGTGTGGTAGGGATGGTGAGAGATAGAAGATTTGGAGTTTTAGGGTATAAGTTGATTGAAGGGATAAGGGGATGGTTGTTAATGGTGGATTAAGGGAGGTGGGGGAGGGGAGAAATGGGACAAATATGTGGGTAGAGAGGGTAAAGTAGGGATTGAAGATTTTTGTGAGTGGGATTGTGTAGGATAGTGTAAGAGAGAAGTGATATTGGGGATATTGGGGGTGGGGGGGGAGGGGGGGATATAGGTTGATGTTGGGAATGTATTATTGGTTTTTGTTTTTATTAGATGGATTTAATTAGAGGTGAGAGGAGTTTTTATGGATGGTGTATATATGTTGGGAGGTATGGGGGGGTGTGAGTTTGTATGGAGAAGTTGTTTGTTGGAAGATGGGGGGGAGTGATGGAGATATTGGGGATGGGGTATTATGTGGAGTGTGGGTGGTTTTGTTTGATTTAGGGGTTGGTTATTGGTAAGTGGGATGGTTTTTTTGGGGGGTGGTATGAGATTGGTTTTTTGAATGGGATGGGGTTTTGTTATATTTGTGGGGGGTAGATGGGGATATGTAATATTTTTTGATTTATTGGTGGTAGAGGAATGGTAATGTTGTAAGGATTTGAATGGAGGGGAGTGGGATTGAAAGTGGAGGGGTTTAGTTGTGGTGGGGGGGGGGGTGTTGGTAATGTGGGGTGATAATATGGGGAGATGGGGGAGTGAGTTGGGGGGGGTTTTATGGGGTGGTGATTTGGGGGGGGATTGAGGGGGAGTTTTGGGAGGGGGTGTGGGGGGGGGGGATGTTTTAGGATAATGTTGAGTGAGTGGTATTTAGGTTTTTGAGTGTTTATTTTGGAGGGGATGTTGTGTTTTGAATGGAGGGTGGTTGAGGGGGGGGATGGTATTGTGATGTGTATTGGGGGAGGGGAGGGTTGGTGTGTTGTTGATTGTGGTTGGTGATAGGTGTTAGGGAGTTTGTAAGATGGTTTGTGGTGTGGGGGTTTTGGGGGGGGTAATATGGGGGGGTTATTAGGTGGGGGTAGGAAGGTTTTTTTGGATTGTGTGGGTGTTTTTGTTTTTTAGATGTATGAGATATGATTATTGAGATGATATGATTTAGGATGGAGGGTGGAATGTAATGTAATGGTTGGTATGATATGTTGATATTATGGGGAGAGATAGGGGAGGTAAGGGGTGATTTTATTAGGATTTAGGATAGGAGGGTATTGAGAGAATAAGATATAATTTGGGTAGGTGTATGGGGGGTAATGTGTTAAATAATTAGAGGTTATTTTGTAAGAGGGAGGGGAATTGTGATGTTAGTAAGGTGGATAGGGGAATGGTGGAGGTTTGAGGGGGTTAATAGGAAGTTTTTGGGGGGTAGGGTGAGTAGAATGGGTTTGAATTGGTTTTATGTGAGGGGTAGGGATGTATTAGGGGGTTTATGGGGTGTGGGGTAGAGGGGGGGTGAGGGGGGGAGTTGTGGTGGTGAAGAAATGGGGTGGGTGTTTTGTTTTTTTTATGGTTTTTAATGGTTTTTATGTGGGAAAGTGTTAGGTGGTGGTGTTTGGTTTTAGATAGATAATAATATAAGAGTGTGTTTTAGTTGTTGTTATGTATTTAAAAAATTAGTAATTATTATATATAATGTTGTTTTTAGTTTTATGTTTTTATATATTGTGTGTGTTGTTGAATAGTGAATTTTAGATGATTTTGTGGTTTGTGTATTGAGGGTATGTGGGTGAAATGTTTATTAAATATGGGGGGTTAGGGGGGGGTTATAGGCATTGGGTTGGGAAATAATATATGGGGTTTTGGGGGGAAATTGGTGAATGTATGATGTTAAGAAGAAAATGGGAATGGGGAGGGTAGAGGGGTTAATGATTAAGTAAGAAGGGAGAAAGATGTGGATGGGGGGGATGAGGGGTATTTATGGGATAGGTTGTAGGGGGGGTGGAATGTATAAGGTTATTATGGAGGGAGGTTGGAGGGAAGGTGAATATGGGTTGGAATGGATTTAAGGGTGGTAGTTGGGGTGAGTAGGAAGGGAAGGGGATGGGTAAGATTGGGAGGGGATGATGGGTGTGGGTGGGGTTGGGGGGGTGGAGGGGTTTGGTGGATGGGGGGGTGGGGGTGTATGAGTGAGTTGGAGGGATTATATAATTTTGTTTATGGGAATGTTTTATGTAAATTAGGTTGTGGACGTTAGATGGGTTTGGAATGAAGTGGATATAGGGTAGAAATATTGGTAATAATGGGTGTTGGGGGTTAGTTGTGGGATTGTAAATATTTTGGGGGGTAGTGTAGTGAGGGTTTGAATAAATTGAGTTTTTGGGGGTAAGGAGTAGGGAAGATATTTTTTTGGGGGGGTTTGAGGGGGGAGGAAAAGGGTTGAAGAAGGGTGTTGTTGGGTAGTTGATAATTTTGATAATTTTTTTTTTTTTTTTGGTTTTTTTTTTGTTTGGGGTGGTTTTTTGATTTTTTGGGGGATAATATGGGATTTAATGGATTGTGATGGAGGAATAAGGAGGGGAGATGTTTAGTGGGAATTGGATGAAAAATGTATGTGTGGTGGTGTATTGTGTATAGGGTTAGGGGGGTTTTGTATTTTTATGGGGTATGGTTGGGAGATTGGATATATAGGTAGTTGGGGAGGGTAGTGGGGGGGGGGAGATTGGGTATATTGGTTTTTTGATGGGGGGTAGGGAATTAGGTTGGGGGGATTGGATGGTTTATGGGGGTTGGTTTGAGGGGGGGGATAGGGGAAGTTTTAGGATGGTTGGGGAATTGTTGTTGTTTTGGGAGTGGTTTTGTTTTGGTTGTTGTTTAATATATATTGAGGAGGGTGAGGTGGTTGAATATGGGGTAAGTTGTTAAGGGTTGGATTTATGAGTGGGGGGGGGGTGGGATAGTAGGTAGGGGGGGGGTGGGGTAGTGGTTAGGGGGGGGTAGTTGAGGAGGGAGTTAGGAGGGAGGTTTGAGGTAGTATGTGGGGGTATATTGATTTTTGTATTATGGGGATTTAGGGGTGAATTAGGTAGTGTATTTGTGTTAGATGTGAGATGAGGGGGTTGGTATGAATGGGTAAATAGGGGATGATAAGGGGTATGGAAGTAAGGATAGATTAAGGGGTGAAGGGGGGGAGAAAGAAGAGGGGTAAAAGTAGGATGAGGGAAAGGTGTGAGGAGGAGGTTAGTTAAGATTAGAATTAAGAAGAATAATTTTGGATGGAGTTATATTGAAAGTGTTATGGAAAAGGAAAAAGGATAATTTTAGTGGGGGTATGGGTTTGGTGGTGTTAGTATAGGAGGTTGGGGGGGGGGGGGGATGTTTAGTGGGGGGGTTGTGTGGATTTGGAGGGTTGTGTTGGGATATGGTTGGGTAAGAATTGGGTGGGTGGAGTGGTGTGTTAGTAGGGGGTGAGGGGGGTTTGTTGTAAGGATTTTGGTGGGGTTGGGGTTGATTGGGGTTTGTTTTTTGATTGTTTGTTATTGATTGAGTGGTAGAGGGGGTGAGGGGAATGGGTTGGGGGGGGGAGATGTGGTGTTAAATGGGTGGGGGTGTGATATATTATTTGTGTGAGGGGATTGATAGGAGATAATATTAGATTGGTTATTGAATGATGAAGTTGTTGTTGGAGGGGTGGAGGAAATATGGGTTGGGGATGGGGGTGATGTTTATGTGTGTATGTATATGATTATTATGAGTATGTTGGATTTTGAAGGTGTATTTGGGGGGGGGGGGGTTGGGAGGAAATTTATATTATTTTATATTTATTGGGTGATGGGTTTGTTGTTTTTGGTGATGGGTTTGTAGTGTGGTGTGGGATTTAATGTAGGGTTGAGGGGAGGGTGGGTTTTTGGTGGGGTTTATAGTGGGGGTGGGGGGAAGGAGTGGGAAAAAGATAATGGGTTATTTTATGTTTGAGGGGTGAAGGAATTTGGTGGGAGAGTTAGGGATAAATGATGGGGGAGTTGGGATGTTAATAGGGGGGGAATGTGATATGGGGGGGAGGATAGGGGGGGGGGTTTTTAGGTAGGTAAGGTGGGGGGGGGGGGATGGGGGTTTGATTGGGTTGTTTATATTGGGATGTTGTGTTGTGATTGAGGGGAGTGTTTGAAGTAGGATAGGTAGTGATAATTATGATGTATGTGTATTAAGAGGGAGGGTGGGTTATATAGAGAGTGATTGTTATGTAGGATTTTAGTTTAAGAGAGGTAGTATGTTTTAGGGGGTTATTGTTGGGTTTAGGAGGATGGTGGTAAAGTTGGGTGTAGTTAAGTTTGATGTTGATGGAAGAGTTTTGGATGAATTTGGTGAGTATGAATGGGGTAAGAGGGAGGATGTGGGAAAGGTTTTATGGGGGGGATTTTTAAGGTATTTTTGGAGGGTTGTAGTGGGTAGTGGGTTTGGTGTGTGTTGGGGGGTGGAGAAGTGGTTATGGGTGGGGGGTGGGGGGTATAATGGTGAGTGGGAGTTATAGGGGGGTTGTTGTTGGTTGGAATGGATTTGTATGGGGGTGGGGGGGGGGGGGGGGGAGGGAGGGAGGAGTAGGGGGGGGTGGTGAAGGTGTGGGGTGGTAGTTTGTAGTGGTAGGGATAAAGAGTATAGAGATGGAGGGATATGGAGAGGGAAGGAGTGGGGAGGTTAAAGGGTTAAGGGGGGGTGGGGAAGGTTAATTAGTGTTTATGAGTGGATATTAGTTAGTATGGGAGTATATTAATAGGGGGATGATGTATGTGGGGGGTGAAGGTTTAGAGGGGGGGGGGGAGTTGTTATGGGGTTTAGTTGAAGGAATGATTTGGTGGATATGATTTGGTTTGGTGAATTGGAGGGGGTGGAGAGATTGGTGGGGGGGGGGGGGGAGTGGGGGAAGGGAAGAGAGAGGGAGGGTGGTGGGAGAGGGGGGGGGTGAAGGGGGTTGTTTAAGATGGAGGTTATATTAGGGTGGGAAAGGGAGAGTAGGGGGGGTGGATGGAAGTTTTAATTTTTTGGGTTATGGGGTGAGAAAGGATAAATAGTATGTAGGGAGGGGAGGATGATTGGTGGAGGGTGAAAAAGAGTGGGAGTATGAGGGTATTTAGTTGAGAGTGGTTGTTGGTGTAGGTATGGGGGAGGTTTGTTGTTGTGGATTTGTAAGGTGGTTATGTTGGGTGTTATTGTGTTGGGTTAGGATGGGGAAAGAGAGTGGGATTGTGGGTGGGGGGGTGGTTGATGGATTTTATGTTGTATGTGTTATGTGGGGGGGGGTAGGGGTTGGGGTTTAATGGGGGGGAGTTGGGTTGGGGGTGTTGGTTGGTGGGGGTGGGGGGGGGGGGTGGGGGGTGGGGGGGTAGGGTGGGGTTGGGAGGGTGATGTGGTGTGGTTTTGGGGTTTATAGGTGATAGTTATGATTGTGTTGTTTTTTGATTTGTTAGGTTTTAGAGGGATGTTGGTTGTTTTTTGGGGGAGGTTGGGTTGAGAGATGTGTATGTGGTTGGGGGGTTTATTGGGGTGGATTGAGATTGTATGAGTGATTGTAGAGATGTTGATATGATAAGGGGGGATTGGGTATTATGATTTATTTATTTAGTAAATGGGGGAAGAGATGTGTTGGGGTGGGGGGGGTAAGGGATAAGGAATGAAGATTGTAAGGGTAGGAAAAGTAGAGTGAAGGAGGGAGATGATATAAGTAAAAGAGATAAAGATATGGGGTAGGGTGAATTAATAGAAAAGATTGGGATTAGGGGAGAAGGATTAGTGTTAAGAAAAAATTGTTTGAGGAAAAGAGGAGGGGGGGTAGAGGGGGTTATAGGAGGTTAAGGAAAAAAAATGTGTGTATGAGGTAGGTAAAAGTGTGGATAGGTAGGGAAAGGGTGGTTGATAGTTGGAATGATGGTAGATAGGGTAGAGGGATAAAGTGGTTAGGGGGAAGTGGATGTGGGGGATAGTGGTGTATGTGGTTGGTGTGTTGGGGGTTGTAGTGGTGGAAGTAAGAGAGAAGGAGGGTAAGAGAGGAGTAGGGAGTGAGGGTGGTAGGTGGGAGGTATTGGATGTGTGGGGGGGGGGATGTTTTGGGAGTGTTTGGGTTTATTAGAAGGGGGGGAGAGGGGGTATATTAGGGGTTAGGGGTATTTTTTTAAGTTAAATTGTGTAAGGGATGGATGTTGAGTTTATGTGGAAAGGTGTATTGGTGGGATGGGAGGGAGTGTATATTAAGTTTGGTGGGGTTGGGATAATTTGATTTTTGGGGGGGGGGGGAGTTGGTGATGAATAGTTAGATTGGTTTTTTGTTATGAGTTTGGATAGGATAGATGTATGGGGAGTGGGATGATGATTTGTGGGTTTGATTTTGGAGGGTTGGGGGGGGGGGTGTAGAAGGGGTATGGGTTGGATGGGTTTTTGGGGATTTGTTTGTGATTTGGGGTTATAGGGGGGGGGGTTTTGGGGGGGGGGGGGGGGGGGGGGGGGGGGGGGGGGGGTGTTTTATATTTTGTGATTGGTGTGGTAGTGTGTTTTGTTTATAATATTAGATGTGTATAGATTATAGGTTGAGGGGGGTGAGGGGAGGTATAGATTAGGATTGGAGGTCGGTTTAATTAATAGTTTTAATTTGGGGAATAGGATAATTTATAGAGTTTTGAGTGGGAATGATGTTTTTGTTAGTTTGGTGAATAGGGGATAAGAGTTGGGGTTAAGGGAGGGGGATGAGGGGAAAGTTTTAAAGAGGGGGTTTGGAGGATATAGTGGATGTTGTTTGATTATTTGAGTTATGAATAATGTTGTTGTGTATAGTTAGATAGGTTTTGATAGAATAGAAAAGGGTGGTATTTGTTTGGGGGTGTTGGTGGAGGGGGGGATTTTATTTAAGTTGAGGATTTGGAGGTGTTGATTTTGGGGGATGTGAATTTATTTTAGATAGTAAGATTTTTTAATTTGAGGGGGTAGTTGTTTTTTTGGTTGGGGGGATGATGTGAGGGTTGATAATTAGTTGGTAGGGGGTTGATAGGAAATGGGTGGGTTTTTTTGTATGGGGGAAGATTAGGGATTAAGAGGTTTATAGAGGAGGTGGTGGGGGGAGTAGGGTGAGGGTTGATGAGGGTAGGTAAGGAAGAGGGATTATGATTAATGTATGGATTGAGTGATGTTTATGAAGAGGATGGGTGAGTTGGAGTGGGTTGGGTTGGGGTAAGGTGATTTTTGGGGGGTGTATGGGAATGATTAGATGTGGGGGGTTATGGAGGGGTTGTGGGTGGGTTGATAGTGAAGTGAAGTTAGGAAGTAGGGTGAGGGGTATGGGTTTGGGGGGGGGGGGTAGGGGGGGGGGGGATGGGAGTGATAGGGGGAAAAATGGGAGGGGGAAGGGGAATATTGGGTAAAAGGTTTAGAAGAAGAAGTATATAAAGATAGGAAAGGAAAGTAAGAAGGGGGGGGTGGGAGGATGAGGGTATTTAAGGAATAGGGAAAGGAGGGAGGGAAAGGGAATAGGAGGTAGGTGAACTGGTGAGTGTGAAAGGAAAGGAAGGGGGGTTGAGGTGAAAGGGAGATTTAATGGAAAAAAATGGGGAGATAGGGGGAAATAGGGGGGGAGGTGTGGGGAAGGAGGTTGATTGGGATGGGGGGATGGTGGGGGGACTTATTTTTGGGGGGGGGTAGGGTGTTGGAAATGTATAGGGTTATGGGGTTTTAGGGGTGTATGGGGGGGTTTATGGGGGAGTGTGGAGGGTGGGGGGGGTAGGGGGGGTGGAGAGGTGAGGGGGTTGATTGGGGGGGGTTGAAGAGTTGTAGGGTTGGGTGGGGGAGTGTATTGTTGTTTGGGGTGGGGGGGGGGGTGGTGGTATTATTATTATGTTGTGTATTGTATGTGTGTGTGGGGAGGGTATATTGATTGGGGTGTAGGGATTGATGGGGGAAATGTTGGATGTATGGTATATGTAAGGTTGATTTATTATTAAGTGGATGGGATTTGGGGGGGTGTGGGGGGTGGGGAATGGGGTGAGAGAAGATATATTATTTATTGTGTTTTTTTGGGTGATAGAGATTATTATTATTAGGTGGGGGTGGGGTGTTTTTGGGTAGAGAGATTATTATTATTTAGGTTGGTTTTTGTGGTGTGTGAGAGAGAGATTTATTATTATTAGGGTGGTGGTGTTTTGTTGTGTGATAGAGATTAATATTATTAGGTGTGTGGTTTTTGTTTGATTTGGGGGGTTTTGTTAAGTGTATGGGGGTGAATTTAGGGGGGTTGTGGAGGAGGTTGTTGTGGGATGGGAGGGAGGAAGGGGGTTTAGGGGGGGTGGGTTTGGGGTGATTTTGGGGGGGGGGGGGGGGATGAAAGTGTGGGAGGATGGTGGGTAGTGTGGGGGGGGAGTTGTATTGTATTGTATTGGGTGGTGGGTGTAAAGTTTGATATGATTAGATTTAGGTTATTTAATGGGGGGGTTTGATAAGATATGGGTGAGTGGGGGTGATTATGTTTTTTATATGTTTGTGTGTGTTTATAAGGGTTTTTTAGGGGGAATTATTGGGTTTTGTGGTTGGGGATAAATGTTTTTATGAAGGGGGGGGGTATAGTTAGGGGAAAATTATTAAGTTGATATGAGGTTTGGGGTTTTTTAGAGTTTTTTTATAATGGGTTTTTGGTGGGTTTAAGAGTTAATGGGGGTTTGGGTGAAAGAAATAGGGTAGGTTTGTGTTGAATTATGTTAGTATTTTTGGTAATGGGAATAGTTTAAATATTTGAGTATGGTGGGTATATGGTGAGTTAGATTGTGGGAGATGTTAATGATGGGTTGGTGTGGAATGGATGGGGAAAGTGAGTGATTTTGTTATTTTGTGGTAGTATGGTTGTGATTGTGATTTATTATGGATTTGAAGTGTTAGTTTTAGTTTTGTTTGTTGTGGAGATTGGTAATGTAGGAGAAAATTTAGGGGGGGGTATGGATTGATAGGGTGGGGTGAAGTTAGGGGGTGGAAGATAGTGAGGTAAGGAAGTAAGTTGAGTGTAGGGGTGTTAGGGGGTGGGAGTGAAGTGGTGGTTGGATGGGGAGGGTATGGGAAAGTATTAGTGGATTTTTATGTGTTTTTATGTTGGTGTGTTTGGGGGGGGGGGTTAAGGGTAGGGGGGGGTGGGGTGAGGGATAGGGGGGAGGATGGTTTGTTGGGGTTTGGAATAGTGGGTTTTTAGGGAGTTTGAGATATGAAGTATTATGGAGGGGGTATGTTTATTATGTATATGATGGGTATAGGGGAGTTGTGTAAGGGGGGGTTTTATGGTGGTGGTGTGTGTTGAATGGGTAATGGGTGAGGGGGGGGGGGGGGTATTGTTTGTTGGGGTTTTAGGTGAGGTAGTTTTGGTTGGGGGGGGGGGGTTTTTTTGTGGGAGAAGAGGGGGGGGGGGTAGGGTTGTGAAGGAGGAGGTGAAGTTATAGGAAGGATTTTGGGGGGTAGATGAATTGTTAGGTTGATGGTGGGGGTATTTTTGGGGTTTAGGGGGATTGGTTGGGGGTGTTGGTTGAAAGGGGTATGGGGTGGTTTGGGTTTGGGATGGGGTGGGGGAGGGGGGTGTGTTTTGGGGTGGGTGGGGATTTTTAGGGTAGAATTGGATTTGGGGGGGGATGGGGTAGTGAGGGGATGGGGTGGGGTATTTGTGATTGTGTTAGGTGTGGGTGGGGTTTTGGGTGTGGGTATAGTGGTGGTGGGGGGGGTTGGTTGATTGTGGTGATGTATTTGGGTAGTGTAGGGTGTGATGGGAGTTGGGGGTTAAGGGTATGGGTTTTTGGTTTAGGGGTTTTGTGGTTGGGTGTGGTGGGGTATGGGGTAGGGGAGGAATTTTGATATTTTTATTGGAGGAGGGAAGGAAAGGGGAGGTATGTTTATAAAGGGTGTGGGGATGTTTTTTGGTTGTTGGGTGTTGGTATGTGGGGGAAAGTGGTTGGTTAATAGTTGGGAGAAAGTGGGGTGAGGGGGGGTTTGTGGTTTGGGGGGGGGTTTTTTGATTAATATTGGAGGGGGAGAATAGGTGGTGGTAAAGGGGTTGGATTTAAGGTGATTTAGGGTTTTTGTTTGGATGTTGATGTTATGATTTGTTGGGATTGTTGGGTGTTTTGGTTGATGTTGTTTTTGATGTATTTTGTATTATAGAGTGGGTGTTTGTGGGATAATATTTTATTGTGGATTGGGATTGTTATTAGTTTGGTTAGTGGGTGGATTGGTTTGGGGGGTAGGGTTAGTTGGGGTATGTTTGGTATGTTGGGGGAAGGTTGTGTAGTAGTTGAGGGGGGGTATGGGGTTTTGGGATTTGAATATGATTTTGTTTAGGGAGGGGGATGGGGGAGTGAAGTGAAGGATGGAGAAGAAGGTTGGGGGGTTGTGAATGGATGGTTGGGAGGGAGGGGAGTAGGTTATGAAAGGAAAGAGTGAGAGGGGGGAGTTAGGTAGAAGATAGGGGTGTTAGTGATTTGTATGGAAGAGATTAGATATTTGAAGGTGAGATAGGGGGGGGGGGAAAGTAGGGGAGAATATTAATATAGGGGGGGTGGGGGGTGGGTGGGGTGGTGGGGTTTGAGTGGGTGGGTGTGGGGGTTTAGGGATTAATTATGAGGGGATATGGGAGAGGGAAGTAGAATATTGGGTATTAAGAGGGGGAAGGAGGTGGTTGTTTGTGAAGGGTTGTATAGTGGGGGTAGAGGGGGTGGTGGTGTGAGTTGGGAGGTGGGGTGGGGAGAAGAAGAGGGTTGAAGGGAGGAGGGGTGTTTATAGAGTTTTGGGATTGATGTGTATTGGATTTGATTTGATTGGATGATGGAGGGAGGTGTATGTATGGGGGAAGAAGTTTTTTATGGTTTATATATAGGGTATTATAATTTGTTGAGTGGGGGGAGTTGAAGGAGGGGTGGGGGGTTGGGGGGGGTAGTATGTTTATTTTGTGGGTATTGGTAGTATTGAGAGGATTGAGAAGGGGTTTGCAAGATTTGAAGAGGGGGGGTGAGTGATGGTGTGGATTGATTGGATTGGGTGGTGTTGTTTTGAGAGAGGTAGATTAGTGGGAAGAGGTTAGAGGGGGAATGATAAGGTAGTTTTTATTAAGGGGTGTGTGGGGAGGGATAAGGGGTTAATGGATGTTATGGGTTATGGAAGGGGGAGGGATATTTTGTTGATGGGGTTGGTTGGGGGGGGGTAAGGTAGGATTAGAAGGATAGGATATAAATTTTTAATGTTATGAGATTTGGTTTTTGTTTTTTGATATTAAATGTTGGATTATTATTTTTTTGGTGGGGAAATTTGAAGGGGGAATAGTTGTGTGTTGGATGGAGGAGTTGGTGTATTTGGGTGGGGAGGTGGGTGGGTGGAATTTATTATTTGGGTGGTGTTTTATGTGTGGAGGTAGATTAGGGAGAAGTTAGGTGAGTAGGGTATGTAGGGGGTGTGGGGGAGATATTATGTTTAGATAAAGGGGATATGGTTGAGGTTGTTAATTGGGAATATTATGGGTTATAGTGAAAGTGTGGAAAAGTAGTGGTGAGTGGTTGTTTTGTAAGAATATAGTGTATAATTTGGATGAATGGGGTGGGGGGGTGGTTGAGATGGGTGGGAATAGGGGATGGTAATTTAATATGTGTGATTTGGGGGGGGTTATTGTGTAGATGGTTGGGTTGAGGTTAGTAAGGTGATATTTATGGAGGTTGTATAGATATGTTGGGGGGGATTTGGGGGAGGGGATAGGGATGTTTTTTATTGGGGGTGGATATTGTGGAGTAAAGAAGGGTGTTAAGGGAGGGTTAGTTGAATGGGTGTTGATGGGGATTTGGTGAGGGTGGATGGTTGGGTGGGGGGATGGTGTGTGGGGGGGGGGGATAGTAGATGGTTGGGGCTTTGTAGAGGGATGGGGATGGGGTGGGGAGTTGGGTGGTAGGGGTGTAAGAATGGGTGTGTGTAGTATGGAGGGTTAGAGAAAAGGGTGGGGGGGTGAAAATGTGAGGGAAGGGGAGGGAGTGGATCAGGGGGTAAGGGTTGGGTTGGAAAGATTTGAGATATGGTAGGGGTAGATGGTATGGTGTGATGGGGGAGGAGGTTAGGGGGGTGAGTTATATAAGAAAATATTTTGGGGGTTGTTGGGGGGGGGGGGGGGGGGGTTATTTGGTATGAATTTGGGTTGAGGGGAATTTGGGGGAGGATTAAGAGAAATAGATAGAAGTAGAGGGGGGGGAATTGTTGTGTATTTGAATAGAGGGATTAAATGATATTAGGGAGGGGTGGGGGTTTTGGGGAGTGGAGTATGATGGGTTTTATTGTTATTTTGTATGTGGGAGGTTTTATTGGGGGGTTTGAGTGTTGTTGGGTATGATTGGAGTATGTAGGGGTGTATGTATTTGGTGGATGGGGTGTGGATGATAATAAGTAGAAGAGGGGAGAGGGGGGGAAGGGGATTGTTTAGGTAAAATAGTGGAAGTTTGTTGGGGTTTGGTGGGGGGAGGATGAAGGGTGGGGTGGTGTTGGGTGATATTTGAGGTTTTGGAAGATAATAGGGTAGGTTGTTTTTAAGGAGGGAAGGAGGGAGGGTGGGGGGTGTGGAGATGTGGGGGGTGGGGGGGGGGGTATGATAGGGAGGGTTTTGTTAGGTGGGGGGGTGGTTTTATAGTTTGGGTGGTGTTATGGTATTTTGGAGAAGGATAGTGATTGGTTGGTGGTTGGGGGGGTGGGGGGGGGGGGTAGAGGGTGAGGGAGGGGGGGGGAATGGGGGTGGTAAGGGGGTAATTGGGTGGGGGAGGAAAATGATGGGATGGGGGTATATGTGAGATGGGGGGATAAATTGTATATTTTGGATGGGTTAATTGTGGGGGGGGTTGGGTGTAGGTTGGGGAATAGGGGGGTATATGTGTATTAGGAGGAAAGGATTTATATATGAAAAGAAGGGAGGGGAAAGTGAGGTGGGGGGATGAAAAATTGGAGGGGAATTGAAGAGGAAAAGGTTGGGGGGTAAGGGGTATGGGAAGAATATGAGGGGAGGGGGGGAAAGAAGGGGGGGGGTGGGGGGGGGGGAGGATGGGAAGAGGAAGGGATTGGAGTTTATTATAAGGTAGATTGAAATAAATTTTTAATGGTGGAGAAAAGGGAGGGGGTGGGAGGAAGGGGGGGAATTGAAATATGGGGTGTAAGAGGAAGTAGGATTGATGATTTTTGGTGGTGGAGTGGATGGGTGTTGAAGGGGATAGTGGTAAGAGAGAAGTGATATTGGGGATATTGGGGGTGTGGGGGAGGGGTTATGAGGGTGTGATATGGGAATGTATTATTGTGTTTTTTTTTTTAATGAAGATGAATTGAATTGATGGGAGAGAGGGGATTTTATGATTGTGTAATTATGTGTGGGGAGGTATGGTTGTGTGTTATGGGAGAGTGGTTTGTTTGTAAGGGATGGGGGGGGGGGAGTGGAGGATATATATTTGGGATGGGGTAGTTAATGGGTAGTGGTGGGTGGTTTTGGTTGAATGAGGGGTAGGGTTTTGGGTAATGTGGGGATGGTTATGATTTGTGTATGAGATAGGGTTTTTAAAAGGGATGGGGGTTAGTTATATTTGTGGGGGTTAATGGGGGAAAATGTAAGAGATTTTGTAGATTTGATTTGTGTTTAGAGGGGGAATATGGAAATGGTTGAAATTTGGATGGGGGGAGGGAGTGGGGATAGGGAAATTGGGAGTGGGTGAGTTGTTTGGGGGTGGGGAGGGTTAATGTGGGTTGATGAAATGGGATTGGGGGGGGATATGGGGGGGAGAGAGGGGTTGGGGGGTTTTATGTGATATGGGGGGGAAGAGGGGGGAGATTAGGGAGGGTGGGAGGGGTGTGGGTGTTTGTAGGAAGAGTAGATTAATGGGTGGTATGGGTTTATTTTTTGATGTTTATTTTGGAGGGGGAGGGTTTTTGGTTATGGAAATGGTGGGGGTGGTTGAGGGGAGGGGATTTGTGATTGTGTATATTGGGAGGGGGAGGGGTTGTGGGTGGTTTGGATGATGGTTGGGGAGGGGATTAGGGGGGGGGTGTAGGGGAGGATGTGTGGATGGATTGTGGTTTGGGGGTTGGGTTAGGGGGGGGGTAAAATGGGGGTAGGTTAATTAGGGTGGGGGGGGGAGGGAAAGATTGTTTGAATGTGTGTGGGGTGTTTTTGTTTTTTTTTTGGGATGTATGGAGATCTGAATTATTGAATGATGATGATTGGGAGGGATGGAGGTGGGATGTAAGTAATGGTTGTAGGGAGATGTTGAATAGATGGAGAGGATAGGGAGGAAGGGGAGATTGGTTATTAGGAATGTATGATAGAGTGGGTATTGGAGAGAATGAAAGATATAATTTGGTAGGTTGGGGTATGGGGGGGTAATGTGTTAATAGATTAGATGTGTATATTTGGGTGGAAGATGGAGGGAATATTTTGGATTTATGGTAAGGGGTGGATAGGGAATGTGGGTTTTTTTGAGGTTATTGATGAAGTTTTTGGGGGAGGGGTGAGTAGAGGATTGGGTTATGAATAGGTGTTTTTATGAGGGGGTAGGAATGTATTAGTTTAAGGGGTTGGGGTAGATGGGTTGGGGAGGGGGGGGGGGGGGGGAGTGGGTGTGGTTTGAATGGGGGGGTAGGGGGATGTGGGTTGGAGGGGGGGGTTGTGGTAGAGGGGGGGGGTGTGGATGAGAGAGATGGATATTATTAGGTTTGTTTTGTGTGTGTGGTATGTTTTTTTATATTGGGGTTTGGGTTTTTAGGTTGTTTTGAGGTTTTATGTTTTTATATAGGTGTTGATGTTTTTTGTGATTTTTAGATGGATTTTGGGGTTAGTGTTTTGAGGATGGTGATATGGAGTTTATGTTAGGGGGGTTAGTGGGGGGGTGGGTTATAGAAATTGGTTAATAAGATTGGGGGTGATGTGGGGGGAATTGGGGATGTATGATTAAGGAAGAAAATGGGAAGGGAGGGGTAGAGGGGGTTTAAATATTGGTGAGTAAGAAGGAAAATTGAGTGGGGATGTGGGGTATTTATGGAATAGGTGTTAGGGGGGGGTGAATGGGTGTAGGGGTTAGGATGGGAGGGAGGTTGGAGGGGAGAGGGTAATAGTTGGGGAAGGGATGGTTAAGGTGGGTAGTTGGGGTGATAGGAAGGGAAGGATGTAGATTAGGAGGGATGGTGTGTGTTGGGGGGGTGGGAGGTTTGGGTGGAAGGGGGGGGTGGGGGTGTATGAGTTGAAGTGGGGAGGGAATTATATAATTTTTGTTTATGGGGGAGGTTTTAGGGGGGGTTAAATTAGGGGTTTTGGATGGTAAGATGGTTGGGAATATGTGGGGATTATTTTAGAAATAGGAATAATGGGTGGTGTGGGGGTAGTTGGGATTTAAAATATGTTGTGGTAGTGGTTGTGAGTTTGAAGTATATGTGGAAGTATTTGTTGGGGGTATGGAGTAGGGAAGATGATTTTTTTGTGGGTGGTGTATGGGGGAGGGAAAATTTGAAGAAGGGTGGTTGGTTGGGGTAGGGTTTGATAATGTTTGATAATTTTGGGTTTTTTTGGTCTTTTTTGGGATAAGTATGGGGGGTGGATGTATGTGATTTATTGAGGGGAATAAGAGGAGAGTGTTTTTTTGGAGATTGGATGAAATTATGTGGTTGTATGGTTATGAGGTTAGGGGTTTTGTATTTTGAATTGGGGGGTAGGTGTGAGGATTGGGGATAGATAGGTAGTGGGAGGGGTAGTGGGGGGGAGTATTGGGAATATTTGATTGATATTTTTATGGGGGGGGGAGGGGAATTAGGAATGGGGGGTTGGATTGGAGTGGTTGTCAGGGTGGGTTTTGGAATTAGGGTATTTCAGGGGTAAAGTTTGGTTAGATGGTTGGGAATTGTTTGTTTCTGATTGGGATAGGATTATGTATTGTGGGGGGGGATAGGTTGTTAATATATTATGAGGTGGGTGAGTGGTTGGATAAGGGTTAAGGTTTTGTAAGGTTGTTATGATTTGGGTGGTGGAGAGTAGGGGTAGGGGTGTATGTGTAGGTGTGGGTGTATGTGTGGGGGTAGGAGGGGATAGGGGATGTATGGTTGATGTAGAATGTGGTGTATATTGAAATTTTGTATTATGGGGATTTAGGGGGTGAAGTGTAGGTGGAGTGAATTAGTGTTAGGGATGTGGGGAGATAGGGGGGGTGTGGTTTGGATGTAAGGGGGGGATAGGGAAATGATAAGGGGGTAGGAGGAGGGTTAAGATAGAGTTAAGGGGATGAATGGATGGAAGGAGAGGGGGGAGTAAAAGAGGGGAGGATGAGGGGGGGAAAGTGTTAGATGGGAGTTGAGTTAAAGGATTAGGAATAATAAGAAAAAATATAGTGATTATAATAATGGGAGGTGGGGGGTATTGGAAAAGAAAAAGGAATAGGGATTAGGTAGTAGTATGTAAGGGGTGAGTTAAGTATATAGGAGGTGGGGGGGGGAGGGGTGAAAGGAGGGATGTTTAGGTTTTTAGGTAGGTATGAGTTTGATATTGATGGGGTTGAAAAGGGGGAGGGGGATAGAGGGTTTAGAGGAAGGGGGTAAGGGGGAAGATGGGATGAAGGAGAATTGATGTTAGGGGGTTAGAATGGGGGGGTATTTTTAGATAGATTGGTTTTGTTTATGATTGAGTGGTAGGGATGGGTGAGGGGGAATTATGGGGGGGAGTGGGTTTGATAATGGGTGGGGTGTGGATTTATGTTGGTGTGGGGATTATATGAGGATAAATTAGATTGTGTTATTAATGAATTAATTTTGTTGGGGAGGGGTGGAGGAAATATGGGGTTGGAGGGGGGGGGGTGGGGATGTATATGTGTGTATTGTTATGATTATTGATATTTATGTTGGGAAAGAAGTGTGATTGGGGGTTGGGGAGGAAATTGTATATATTTATGGGATGTATAATGGGGGGGTGAGGGGTGTTGGGGTTGTTTATTGAGAGGGATTGTAGTGTTTGTTGGATAAATGGTTGGGGGTTTGAGGTGAGTGGGGATTTTGGTGGGTATGGAAAAGGTTGGGGGTGGGGGGGATTGATGGGAAAGAAAGATAATGGGGTATTTATGTGTGGAGGGTGAAGGGAATTGGTGGTGGGGGAGTGTGTGAGGGATTAAAGTGGATGGGAGGTTGATTTTAATAGGGGGATGTGGAGATGGGGAGGATAGGGGGATTTAGGTAGGAAGGAGGGGGGATGGGTTTGATTGGGTTGTTTATATTGGGATGTTGGTTTGGTGATTGATGAGTGGTGTGAAGTAGGGATAGTATTGGATAATAATGAATGTAGGGTGTATTAAGAGAGGTGTAAATAGAGTAGTGTGTGTTAGGGGGTGAGGATTTTTGTTTAGAGAGATTAGTATGATATTAGTTATTTTTGTTTAGGAAGATGGGTGGGTAAATTTGTGTGTAGTAAGTTTTGATGTTGATTGAAGGTTTTGGGATGAAGTTTTTTGGGGAGGGTATGAAGGGGTAAAGAAATGTGGGGGAGATGTTATATGGGGGATGTTTAGGTTATGTTTTGAGGGTTTTAAGAGGGGATATGAGTATTGGGTGTGGGTGTTGGGGTGGAGAGTGGTTGGGTTGGGGGGGTGGGTAGAATTTGAGTGATATAGGATGGGTATTGTTGGGTGTATGGATTTGATTGTAGGAGAGGAGTGGGGGTTAAGTGTGGGGTGTTGTGTTGTAGTTAGGGATAAAGATATAGGAGATAGAGAGGATTGGAAGGAGAAGAGGTTGATTGTATAAGGGTTAAGTGAAGTTATTTGGTGTGGTATATGAGTATTAGTTAGTATGGAGTATATGAAAATAGGGATGATATTGTGGGGGGTGAAGGTTTTGGAGGGGGGTATTGGTATAGTTGAAGAATGATTTGGGGGGTGGGATAGGTATTTTGTGTTGGTGGGGGTTTGATGTTGAGGAGGAGAGAGGGGTGTGGGGGGGGGGGGGGGAGTGGGGGGGATGGGAGAGAGAGGGGGAGGGGGGGGGGGGGGGGGGTGGAGGAGGGGGGGTGAGGGGGGGTTGTGGGGGGGGGGGGGGGGGGGTGGGGTAGAGAGGATGATATTAGGTGGGAAAGGAAAGAAGGGGAGGGGATAATTTTGAATTTTTGGGGTTATGGGGTTGAGGGGTAAGGGATAAATAGTGATTGTATAGGGGGAGGGAAGAATGTATGGAAAAAGTGGGAGTATGAGGGGGTAGATAGTGTGTGAGAGTGGTGTTTGTTTAGTATGGGGGGTAGGGGGGGGGGGTATGTTGTTGTGTATGTGATATTGTGTAGTGTTGTGTTTATTGAAGTTATTGGATGGGAAGATATAGTGGGGGTTTGTGGGGTGGGGGTGGGTGAGTTATGGATTTTATTTGGTGGTAATTGTGAAATTAGTGTGGGGGGGATGGGGGGGGTTGGGGGGGTGATTAAGGGGTGGTGTGTTGGTTTTTGGTTGGTGGGGGTTGGTTGTGGGTTGGAGTTTGAGGGTGTAGGAGGGGTGATTATGTTTTGGGGTTTTTTGGGTATAAAGATAGATGGAATTGATGAGAGATTGAATTTGGATTTGTGTAGTATTAGAGAGGATGATTGTTGGAAATTGATTGGGGGGGGGTGGTAGTAAGGGATGATAGATGTTTGAATTGGAGGAAGATATTGGGGGGGATGGAGTTTAGAATGAATAGTGAATGAAGATAAGAAGAATGGAATAAGGGGGGGGGGGGAGGGAGGGTAATATGATGGGTATTTAGGGGGGGGGGGGGGGGGGTGTGGGGGGGGTGGGAGTATGAGATGGGGGAAGAGAGGATTGTTGTGGGGAAGTTGGAAGGATGAAGGGGATGGTTAAGGTAGAGAAATTGATATGGGGGAGGAGTGATATGGAATTTAAGAGATAAAGGATATGGGGTATGTGTAATTAATAGAAAAGATTGATGGTTGGTAGAGGGATGATGTTTATTTAGTGTTAAGAAAGAATATTTTAGTGGAGTAAAGAGAGGTAGAGGGGGTTAGAGGGAGTTTAAGGGAAATATAAAAAAAAGTGTGGGTGATGAGTATTATGTGTTGGATAGGGTAGTTAGTGGTTGATAGGTTGTATGATGTTCGGATAGGGTAGGGGAGGGATATTGTGGTTTAGAATGGATGTGGGGATATGGGTGATATGTGGTTGGGTGAGTTGGGGGTGGTGGAGGTGTGAAGGTAGAGTGGAAATGGAAGGGTAAGAGAGGGAGGGTAGGGAGTGAGGGGGGGAGGGGGTGAGGTATTGGGGGATGTTGGGGGGGGGGGATGTTATGGGGAGTGTTTTTTATAAAGGGGGGGAGAGGGGGGGGGATATTATGGGTTAGGGTATTTTAGTTAAGTTAAAAGGGGTGGGTTGTTAGGGGATGGAAGGTAGTTTTATTGTGGAAGAGTATGGGGGGTAGGGAGGGGAGTGGTTATTTAGATGTTTGGGGGGTTGGGGTTTATAAGGGGTTTGTTTTTTTGGGGGGGGAGGGGTTGGGGGGTGATAAATATTTTGGGGGAGATTGGTGTTTTGTGAAGTAGTTTGGATAGGAAGAATGTAAGGGAGTGGGGAGGATTGGGGGTATGTGGGGGTTGATGTTGGGGGAGTGTGGTTTGTGTAGGGAGAGGGGTTGGTTTGATTTGGTGAGGGGATTGGTGGTTGGTGATTTGGGGTTATTTGTGATGGTGGTTGTGGTGTGTTGGTTTGTGAGTTTTTTTTGTTATAGTTTTTAGTTTGATGGGGGTGGTGGGTGGGGGGTTTTAATTAGGGTTTGGGAGGTTGGTTGTTTGGGGATGAGTGTTATTTGGGGTTTGGTGTTTTGGAGGGTGTGTTTGTGTGGGATGGAATGGTGTAGATTTGTGGGTTGTAGGGGGAGTAGTATTGGGTGGTTTAGGGGGGGGGGAGGGGATGAGGGGGGGGGTTAGTTTTTATGGGTTGTGGAATGTTGGGTGTGTGGTTTTTGTGTGTGTTTGTGTTTTTTTGTTATTTTGTATTGGTTTGTGTTGTTTGTGTTTGGGTTTGGGGTTGGGGGGTTTTGTGTGGGTGTGTGTTGGGTGGTGGTTTTGTGGGGTGGTGTGTTTGGGGGGTGGGGTGTTTGTAGTTGTTTTGTTTTGGTTTTTTTGGGGGTTGGGTTTTTTGTTTGGGGTGTTGTATGGGTTTTTTGTTGGGGGTGGGTGGTTTGTATGGGGGGGGTGTTTGGGTGTGTTGTTGGTGTTGTGGGTGGTTGTGTGTGGTTGGTGGGGGGGTGTGGTGGGTTGGGTTGTTTGGTTGTGTGGTGGTTTTTTGGTGGGTGGTGGTTGGGTTGGGTTGATGTGGGGTTGTGTGTGGGGGTTGTTTTTGTTTTGGGGTGTTGGGGTGTGTTTGTTTGGGTGGGGGGGTGTGGGGGGGTGTGTGTTGTGTTGTTGGTTTGGTGGGTGTGGGTGTGTGGGGGGGGGTTGGGGGGGGTGGGTGGGGTTTGGGTTGTTTTGGGGTTTGATTTGTTTTGTGTTTTGGGGTAGTTAGTTTTGGATTGTGTGGGTTTGTTATTGGGTTTTTGTGTGTTGTGTTGTTTGGGTTTTGGTGGTTTTGTGTTTGGTTTTGTTGGTGTTGTGTGGGTGTGTTTGTTGGTTGTTGTGTGTTGGTTTGTTTTTTGGTGTGTGGGGTTTGTGGGGTGGTGGTGGGGGGGTAGGTGTGTGTTTGGTGGTGGGAGGGGTTTTTGTGGGGGGTGGGGGTGTATTTTTGAGGGTGTTGGGTGTTGCGGGTGGTTGGGGGGGTGGGGGGGGGTGGGGGGTGGGGGGGGGGGTTGGGGGTGTGGGTGGGGGTGGGTTGGGGGGGGGTGTAGTGGTGTGTTAGGGGGTATTGTATTTTGTTTGGTGGGGGTGGGGGGGTTTTGTTTGGTTGTGTGGTTTGTTTGTGGTGTTTGTTGTTGTTTTGGGGGTGTAGGGATGTATGGGGGTATTTGTTTATGTATTGTTAGGTGGGTTTTTTATGTTTTGTGTATGGGGGGGGGGGGGATTTGGGATGTGGGGGTGGGGATGGGTTGAGAGTGATTATTGATGATGAGGGGGGTTGTTTTTTTGGTGAAGAGATTATATGATGATGTGTTTTTGTGTTGTGAAGAGAGATTAGTATTATTATGGTGTGTTTTGTGTTGGTGAGAGAGAGATTATTATTAGTTGGGTGTTGGTTTTTTTTGAAAGAGAATTATTATTATAGTGTGTGGTTGTTTGTGGGATTTGGTTTTGTTAAGTGTTTTGGGGTTAATTTAGTTGTGGGAGGGAGTTGGGTTGTGGATGAGGGTAGTAAGTATTTTGGTTTGATGTGGTTGGGGGGGGGGGGGATAAAGTTAATATGGTGGGGGGGTAGTGTGGGGGGGAGGTTTATAGTATTGTATTGGGGGAGTGGGGGTGTGAAAGTTTGATATGATGAAGATGGTGTAGTTTTTTAATGGGTATATAATTATATGGGTGATTTTGATTATATGTTTTATATGTTTTGTGTGGGTATATGGTGTTTAAGGGATGTATTGGGGTTTTTGGGTATTGGGAAGGGGAAGGATAATATGGGGAAGGGGGGGGGGGGGGGTAATTAGTTAGGGGGAAATTATTAAAGAAAGATGAGGTATTTTTTTAATGTTGTTTTTAAATGGGTTTTTTGGTTTTAGAGGTAAATGGGGGGTGTTTGGGGGGGGGAAAGAAATAGGAATTAGTGTTGAATTAAGTTGAGTATTTGTTATAGGGATTTAGGAGGGAAAGATTTAGGTATGTGGGTATTAAGTTGGATAGAATAGGGAATGATGAAGATTGGTGTGGGTGTTGGAATGGGGATGTGGAAAGGAGGAGGGGATAATGTTAGGATTGTATTATGGGGTTGTGATTGTATTTATTATGATTTTGAAAGTTGGTTGATTTTTTGTTTGGTGGGTTTTTGTGGGTGTGGGGATTTGGTATGTAGAGAAATAGTTTATTAGGTATAATTGGATGAGGGTGTATGGAGTTATGGGGGTGGGAAGGTTTTGAGTTAGTTGTAATGTGAGGTATGTGTTGGGGGTTAGTATAGTGGGGTTGGGTTGGGGGGGATTGGGTAATGTATAGGTATTGGGATTGGAATTTTTTGTTTTTTGATGTTGGTTTGTGTGGGGGTTAAGAAGGTTGGGTTAGTGAAGAGGTAAGGTTTATGTTTTTAGTGGAATATGTTTGTTAGGGGTAGTTTGAGAAGATATTTTATTGGGGGAGGGGGGTAGGTTTAATTTTGTAAGAAGGGGGGATTAGGTGTGAAGGGGGTGTTGGTTTAATATGGAGGGTGGTGTTTTGAAGTAATGGGTGGGGGAGGGGGGGGGGAATTTTGTTGTTGGGTTGAGGGTGGAGGGTAGTATATTAATGTGTGGGGTTTGATTGGGGGTGGGGGGGTGATAGGTGGGGGGTAGGGGTTTAAGGTGAGGGGTGGATTAGTTAGGTTAGAGATATATGTGGGGGGGTTTGGAGAATATTTAGATTAAGGGGGTGGGTATTTTAGGGGGGTGAGAGGGGGATAGGATTGGGTTTTGTAGAGTTGGTGGAGTGGGGAGGTTGTTTGGGGGAAAGGGGGGGTGGGGGGGGTGTGTTATGGGTTGGGTGGGGAGTTAGGTAGAAATTGTGGAAGTTGGGGGGATGGGTTGTGATGGGGGGAGGGGGGGGTGGGGGGTGGGTAGTTGTGGTTGTGTATGGTGGTGAGGTGGGGGGTTTTGGGGGGGGTGTGGGTAGGAGGTGTTGGGGGATTGGTTGGTTTTGATTTTTGTATGTGAATTGGGATGATTGAGTGAGGGTTGATTGGGGAATTGTGGGGTAAGGATGGGGTTTTTTTTTAGTTGGGTGTGGGTTGGGGTGTGGTGGGGTGATGGTTGAGGGGGGGGGGGAGGATATAAGTGGGATATTTTTAGTTGAGGAGGGGAAGGAAAGGAGAGGGTGATGTTATAAAGGGTTTGGGTGTGGGGGATTGTTTTTTTGGGTGTTGGGTGTTTAGTGGGGGAAAGTGGGGGGGGGTTTAATTTGGAGAAAGGAGGGTGAGGGGTTTTGGTGTGTGGGGGGGGTATTAGGTATATTGAGGGAGGAAGATGTGTTTAATGGGGTGGATTTAAGGTTGGATTTAGGGGGTTTTTGATTTGATTTGATTTTGAATTTTTTGGGGTTTGGTTTTTGATTGTTGGGGGTGTGTTTTGTTGTATTTTGGTATTATAGGAGTGGGTGTTGTGATATATTTGTGATTGTGGATGGATTGTGTATTATGTTTTGGGGGGTAGGGTGGGTGTGGGTTTGGTAGGTTGTTGTTTGGTTTGGTATGTGTGAAGGGTTTGTGTTGTTAGGGTATGGGGTTTTGGGAGGGGGGATTTTTTTTTGTGGTTTAGGGGAGGGGGGGGATGGAGTGGGAAGTGTTTATGTGATGATTGGTGGGGTTGTGTATGATGGTTGGGTTGGGGGTATTTTTTTGAGGTGAGTGATAGATGGGATGTATTTGTTATGAGGGGATATTGAGGGTAGAGGTTTAAGTTGATGGGTAAGAGGGGGGGGGAAGGTTGTGTATATTATTATTGTGTGTGGTTGGGTAGTGGGGGTGGTGGGGTAGGGGTTTAGGATAATTATGTAGGGATGGATGAGGGAGGGGAAGGTGAGGAGGATGGTTGGTATAAGAGGGGAGGGAAGGAGGTGTTTGGTTAGTTGATAGTGGGTGTTGTGTGGGGGGGGGGGGTGGGGGGGTGAGTGGGGGGGGAGGTGTGGGGGAGATGTGAGGGGAAGGGGTAGGAGGTTGATAGAGTTTTGGATGGGGATTGTGTATTGGATTTGATTGGATTGATGAGGATGGATGTGTATGTATTGTAGAAGTATTTATGGTTTTAAGTATTATAATTGGTTGGAGGGGGAGTGAAGGAGGTTGTTGTGGATTTAGTATGTTTATGTTTTTGTGGTTGTGGGGTATATTGGGAAAGGGGATGTGAGAAGGGTTTGTAAAGATGAAGAGGGGTTGAGGGTTGAAGTGGTGGATTTGGGATTGGGTATTGGGGGTGGTGTTGTGTGTGTGACATAGTAGGATAGGTGGGAAAGAGTTAGAGAGGATTAAGAAGTAGGAGGGTATTGATTTAGATGTTGGATTGTGGAGGGATATAAGTAAATGGTTATTGGGATTTTTATGGGGGAAGGGGGGGGAGGATATTTTTTGTATGTTTTTTTGGGGGGGGTAAGGGGTAGGAATAAGAAGGTAGTATATAGAAGATTTTAATGTTTATATATTTGATATTGGTGGGTATGGGGGGAATATTAATGTATAGATTATATATTTAGTAGTCAAATTAGGGAAAGTTGTGGGTGATGGGATTGAGAGTTGGGGGTTTGATTGGATGAGGTTGGGGTTGTTTTAAGATTATTTATGTTGTTTTGGTGTTTATGTAGGAGGTAGGATTAGGGGGGGGGGGAAATAGTATGGGTGAGTTGAGGGTATGTGGAGGGGTGTGTGGGGGGGGGGAGATATATGGTAAAGATAAAAGAGGATATGGGGGTTGAGGTTAGTTAAGTTGGAAATGATTTTTTTTATGGGGTAAGTATAAGGAGATGGGGGGGGAAAAGGTTAGTTTTGGTTTTTGTTTAGTTAAGGGAGAAGATAAGGGTGTATAAATTTGAAATGGGTTTTTTGGTTGAGATGGTGGAATAGATGGGTAAATATATGTTGATTGGGGTTATAGTTTTATAATGGTTTGGGGGGTTGAGTTGTTGTATGGAGTATGTTTATGTAGTTTGTATAGGATATTGGGGGGGATTTGGGAGGATATGTTGGATGTTTTTTATAGGGTGTGTTGGAGTATTGTGGAGGTAAAAGGATAGTTAAGGGTGTAATAGTAGGGGTAATGATGGGGATGGTAGGTGGATGGTTGGGTGGGATGTGTGTGGGGGATAGTTAGATTTGGGATTTGGAGAGGGGGGATGGGAGGTTGGAGTTGTGGGATAGGTGGGTTAGGATGGGTGTGTGAGAGTATTGGGAGGGTAAGGAATGGGGGGAAGAATGTGGGATGAAGGGGAGGAAGTGGAAATAGTTGTAAGTGGTTAAATAGTTTTGTGAATGTATTGTAGATTTGATTTTGATTAGGGTAGGAGGTATAGTGGTGAGTAATATAATGATAATATTGTTTTGTTTGGTGGTTATATTTATGAATTTTGGGTTGAGAATTTTGGGAATTAAGAGAAATAATAAAGGTAGAGGGGGATTGTTTTATTTGAATTGAGGAATAAATTATATGTAGGAGGGGGGGGGGGGTTTTGGGTCGAGGCGGGTATCGATTGAAAACAATAAATAATATCAGGGCTTGTAATTCTATGTTTGAGTATTCCCGAAATAGGTTCAGGAAATGGGAGGGATAATTAGGGGAGATAGTTTAGAAATAGAGCATGTTTATTCATTATCAATCACACTAATCTATTTGTCTGGAGGGTGGGTGAATGGGATAGTTTCGTTAAATATTGTGAATATAAGAAGGGGGGAAAGGTGGGGGGGGGATGAGGTGAATGGTGTGGTTAGGTTTATATGGTATGCAATAAATCGTTAATTAAACAATGTGAATATATAAGGAAAGATTAGGAGAGTGGATGGTGTGGATAATGGGATGGGGGGGTATGATTAGTGTTATTTTCATTTGTTTGTGATATGTTATATATTATTGGGTGAAGTATTAAAGTTGATTTTAGGATTGAAGACCGATGCAATGATTTATAGTTGTTTGTTTATTACGATGATGTCGTGGGCATTTTGGTCCATTATGGGTAAAGGGTTAGATTGTGGAGAGGGAAATTTGAAGGAATATAATGAATGGGGGGGTGGAATAAAATTTTAAGGATATTGGGGATGGGTTAAATGTAGGGGCGTTTTGAGTATGGGTGGATATGAGAATAGTTTGGGTTTATGAGTTTGTATTAGCAGGGCTAAATGCAAAATATATTAAAAGAAAGGGAAAAAAACCATAGTGATGAAAATTGAGAATAGGTAAGAGGAAAGGGTGGAAAGGGGTTATTGGAATAAATAAGGAGATTTGTGTAGAAGAGCGGGGGGGTGGGTGGGTAGGATGGGAATAGAAGATTAATGCTAATAAGGACAAAGACGGAAATGATAGGGGGTGAAGCTTGTGACGAAGGGAAGAAACAGAGGCACAGGTAGAGTGTAGTTTCGCGCCATTCCAAAAGTGTTTGTAGGAGGAGGTAAAAATGTATTTACATGAATAAAATAGAGGAGCTTGCAAAGTTGTTGTTTTTTTAGAATTTAGTATAGATGTAATAGGGGATAAGGGATCAAGGGCTATTGTTTGGGGTATGGTGGGAGGGGTAAAAGAGTGATATGATTGGAAGTAGTAATGGGTTTTTTAGTTAATTAATTCAGATCTAAAAATTAAATGATCAGCTGTATATATAAACAGTCAAGTTGGACTCACATTTGAGTTTGCTTATCAGGTTTATTAAGGGGTTATAAGTGAAGAATTTTGTTTGTACGAATGTTGGTTATTTTAAGTAACTTGAATATTGTCTTTTAAGAGAAACGTTCTATATTATGGTTAAATAATGAGATATTTTAGGGTATTGTGGGTCATTAGTTATTTGTTAATAAATCAGTTTTAATTCTCTCTTGATATAACATTGCAGTTGGTAAGATAAATATTTGTGTGGTTTAAGATGGGGGTGAAATGGTGTAAGATATATTTAGGATTTGGGGGGGGAATTTTGTTAGAGGGAATGGGGTAATGTTTGAAGATTTGGAAGGGGTCGGAGTGGGATTATTAAATATGTAGATTGTTCTATATTGTATGGGTATACTTGAGACCATATTTTTATACGCAAGCAGTGGAGATGGGATATTAGTTGGGGGGTATATATGTTGGTCAATTTTTTGTTGGAAGAGTTTGAGAAAATTGAGGGGTGTGAGTGGGAAGGTTTTAGTAAGAGTAATATAGTGGTTGTATGGGTTAGTTTTTAGATTTAATAAATATTATTTTTGATGAAGTTTGTTAATGTATGGATGTTGTATATGGGGAAGGAGATGTTGGAAGTGTTAAATGTTATGTGGGAGGGGTAATGGTGGTGGTTTTGATGATATTTGGGATAGGGGTGTAATGGAGGTTTGTGGAGGGGATGGAATTGGTGGGGTATTGGGGTTAGGGGGTAAAATTTGGGTTTGTTAATATGGGTGGGGGGAGGGGTAAGGTATATGTTTGGAATGGTTGTTGGTGTTTTTGTAATATTTGGGGATGTATGAATATGATTATTGAGATTTGATATTATTTTGAGGGATATGGAGGATTTAATGTAACTTTTAGTGATATGGTGAATAGATTAGATGATATTAGATTCATGGGGAGATGGATGTAAAGATAATAATGTAATCGGATTTTTAATTAAGAATGAAGATATAAATTGGAATGTTGGAATTTGGGTGGTAATATGTTAATAGATTAGATGGGTGGTATATGGTTTTGAAGAGGGGAGGGGTGAAATGTGATTTAGTAGTGAAAGGAATTGGTGTTTTAGGGTATTGAGTAAGTTATTTGGGTGATTGAGTAAGGGGATGTGGTTTTGAATTGGTTTTTTTTTATGGAGGTGGTGTGATTGGATGTAATATGATATGGGTGTGGTGTATAGGGGGTTGGAGGTTGGGGGGAGTGGGGGTGGATGTGTTGAAATGGGGGGGGTAGGGGTGGTGTGGGATGGAGGGGGGTGGGTTGTGGAGAGGGGGGGGGGGGGTGGGTAGTAGAGAGATTATTAATATTAGTGGAGGGTGTTTTGTTGTTGGTATGTATTTATTTATATTGTTTGTGGTTTTTAAGGGGTTGGATTTGAGTTATGTTTTTATAAATGGGTGGTGTTGTTGTTTGTAATTTTAATGGATTTGTGGGTTGTGTTTAGGGAGGGGTGAAATAGTTTATAAATGTGGTTATAATGGATTTTATAAATGAAAGTGTTGGTGAAATGAAGAAATGGGGGTTTATGGTTAAAGTGGTTATGAATTAGTTAAGGAGAAGAGACAATGGGAATGGAGGAAATAGGGGGGTTAATATTTGAGTAAGAATGGGAGAAGATTGGGAGTGGGGGGGGATGTGGGGTATTTAATGGATATGTTGGGTAGGGGGTGGAAATGGTGTTAAGGGATAAGATGAGGAGGGAGGAGTTGTAGGATAGGTTGAATATGTTGAATGATGTTAAGGGTTGGGTTAGTTGGTAGGGTAGGAAGGGTAAGGGATGGGGTAGAATGGAGATATGGGGGGTGGTTGTGGGGGTTGGAGGGGGGGGGGGGTGGGGGAATTAGTTGAGGGTGGTGGGGGTGTATGAGTTGGGTTGGGTGGATTTATGATAATTTATTTTAAAGGGGGGTTTGGTAGGTTTATAGGGGGTAAATTATGATTTTTAAGTTAGAAGGGATTAATGAATTGTTATGTTTGGTTAAAATATGTGGAAGAAATGAGAGTTGTTGGGGAGTTTTGTGATTTAAATTTGTTTTGGTGGAATTTGTATGATGTTTGAATATAATTGGAGTTTATTTGGGGTAGGGAATTAGGGAAGATGATTTATAGAATTGTGGTTGAGATTTTTTAGTTAACACGGTAAGGCTAATCCAGGTTGATGTAAGGGATGTTTAAGTATTATTAATGTTTGAAAATGATTGGGTTTTTTTGTGGGATTTTTTGGGGGATAAGTATTGGGGTGACTATAATGGTTTTGATTGAGGAATAAATGGAGAGATATTGAGGGGGGGAGATTGACTGAAACTGTATTGGTGGGTGTATTTATATGAGTTAGGGGGTATTTTTGATTTTTGGGATGTGGGTAGAAGGTAGGAGGATGGAAAAAGTATGTATTTGTGAGGTGGGTAGTGGTGAGGATTGGGGTATATTTTGGGTTTTTTGATGGGGGGAGGGAAATCTGGTTTTGGTTATTGGGTTGGGTTGTTCGGGGGGTGTTTTTTGAGGGTTATAGGGAAATTTTGTGAGATGGATGGGAATTGTATGTTGTTTTTGGGGAAGTGTTATGTTTTTGGGGGGTGGTTGTGGTAATATATTATGGAGGTGTGTGCGGGGTATATATGGGAGAAGGTTGTTTAGTTTTTATTAGTTGTGGGTGATAGTAGGTAGGGGTTTATTTGAGTGGGGGGGGGTAGTGGTTGGAGTGATGGGATAGGGGAGGAGGTTTGGGGGAGTTAGTATTGGGGATATATTAATTTATTTATTTAGGATTTAGGGTGAAGGTTTATGAGTGGGGTATTTTGATTTAGGATGTATATTAGGGGTGTGTGGGTTTGATGGTAAGGATGAGGAATATAAGGTGGTATGGAGAGATAAGATAAGTTAAGGGGATGAAGTGAGGAAAGGAGGAGATAAAAGAGAAGATGAGGTGGAAAGGTGTTAGGAGAGTTAGTTAAGATTAGGGAATAAAAGAATAAATATAGGGGTGGGAGTTATATTGAAAATGAGTTATGGGAAAAGAAATAGGATAGATTATAGGTAGTAGGATGAGTTGAGTGATATAAGGTGGGGGGGGGGGGATTGGGAAAGGATGAATGAGTAGGGGATATAGGAGAGGGATGGAGTTTGGATATTGATGGGGTTAGAAAATGGGAGGGATGAGAGGGGGGTTTTATAGAATGAGTGAAGGATGGATGAAGGGAAAGAATTAGGGGGTGTAGGGTAAGGATTGTTATTTTTATATATGATTGGTTTGTTATTGATTAGTTGTAGGATGGGTAAGGAGATGGATGGGGGAGTTGGGGGTTTTGAAATTGGGTGGGGGTTGTGATATATTTTGTGTGGGAATATATAGGGATAAATTAGATTGTGTGTTATGTGAATGAATAAATTTTTTGGGGAGGGGTGGAGGAATATGTTGGGGATGGGGGTGATGTATATTTGTGTATGTAAATTATGGATTGAGATTATTTTGGAATAAGAAGGTGTGATTTGGGGGTTGGGGAGGGAAATTGTATATATTTAAATTAGAATGGGTGAGGGGTGGTTGTTTTAATGAGAGGGAGGGTTGTAGATGTTTGTTGGGATGAAATGGTAGGGGTTAGTGAGGGTGGGATTTGGTGGGTATAAAAGTTGGGGGGGGTGGGGGGGGATTGATGGGAAAAAATAAGTAATGGGTAATTTATGTTTGAGGTGTGAAGGGGGGAATTGTGGGGTGGGGGAGTGTGTGAGATAAATGAAGGTGTTGGGATTTAATAGGGGAATTTGATATGGGATGGGATAGGGGGGATTTTAGTTAGAAGAGGGGGGATGGTGTTTTGATGGGTTGTTTATATTGGGATGTTGTGTTTGTGAATTGATGAGGTGAGGTTGTGAAGGAGATAGTTAGTTTATAATGAAGTTAGTTAATAAGAGAGGTTTATGAAAGGAGTAGTGATGTTAGGTAGGATTTTATGTTAGAGAGATTATTATGTGTTATTATTGGGTTGGGTTTAGGAGATGGTGGTAAATTTTGTGTGTAGGTTAAGTTTGGGATGGTTTGATTGAAGAGGTTTTGATGAATTTATTGGTGGAGGGTATGAATGGGGTAAAGAATGTGGGGGTGAATGTTTTATGGGGGGGATGGTTTTAGATTTATTTTTGAGTTTTAAAGGATAGGTGGTTTTGGTGTTTTTGTGGGAGAATGTTATGGTATGGGGGGGTGGGGGGTATATGGGTGAGTGTGGGAGTATAGGGATGGGTTTTTGGTTGGTATTGATTGATTGGGGTAGAGAGAGTAGGGTTAATGTGGGGGGTGGTTGTTGTATTGTAGGATAAATAGTGATAAGATGAGGATATGGAGAGAAGAGTGGATTGTAAGGTAGTGGAAGGGTTAATTTGTTGTTATGAGTTAGTATTAGTTAGTATAGTAGGGTAATAAAATTAGGGGGGGGGGGGGGGATGGATTATTTGGGGGTTGAAGGTTTAGGAGGGGGGGAGTTGTATATTTGGAAGAATGATTTGTTGGGATAGGTGATGTTTGGTATTGTGAATGTGGAGGAGAGAGAGTGGTGGGGGGGGGGGGGGATGGGGGATGGGAGAGAGAGGGAGGGGTTTGGAAGGAGGGGGGGGTAAGGTTGGTTTAATGGGGGATGAGGGTTATAATAGAGGTTGGGAAAGTAGAGAAGGGTGGAGGATAATTATTTAATTTTTGTTATGGGGTGAGAAAGGGATAGAATAGTGATTTATGAGGGGAAGGGAAGAATGTGATGGAAAAGAGGTGGGATGATGAGTAGATAGTGGTGTGAGAGTGGTGTTTGTTTATGGAATGGGTATGGGGGGGTATGTTTTGTGTATTTAAAAAAATTGTTATGAGGGGTGTGGGTAGTGGTGTTAGATTTTTGATATTATTATGGAAGATATAGTGGAATGTGGGGTGGGTGGGGGGTGATTTTTGGATTGTTATTTTGTGGTAATGTTATGAGTGGGGGGGAAGGGGGTTGGGGTGATTAAGGGTGGTAGTTGTTTTGGGTTGGGTTGGTGGGGGTTGGTGTGTTTGTTAGGGTGGTGAGGAGTGGTGAATTATGTTTTGGTTTTTTGTTATAAAATAATAATTGATTAAATGAATTTTGATTTGTGGGTAGGTATAAGAGGGATGATTTAAAATATTGGTGGTAGGAAGATATAAGGGTTTAATTGAGGAAGGATATGGGTGGGGATGGTGTATAGAAGATGATGGAATGAAGATTAGATGAATATAAGGGGGGGTGAGGGGGGTGGAAAAAAAAAAATATGATGGTGATTTATGTGTAGTATGAGATGGGAAGATGATTGTTGGTGGAATTGAAGGAATGAAAATGGTAAGGGTAGGAAAAGTAGAGGTAAGAGGGAGGTATATGGAATAAAAGAATAAAATATGTTAGTGGAATGATAGAAAAGATATTTAAGGAAAAATGATTAGTGGTAATAAAAATATTGTTATGGGGAGGAAAGAGAGGGGTGGAGTGATAGGAGGTTAAGGAAAAAGAAAGAGTGGATGGAATTATGTATATAGTGTTGGATAGGGTAGGGGGAAAGGTGTTTGATTGGGTTGAATGATGTTAATAGTGGTAGGAGGATAAAGTGGTTAGGGAAGTTGGATGTGGGGATAGGGTGTTATTGGTTGGGTGGGAGTTGGGGGGGTTGGTGGAGGTTGTGAAGGTAGATGGAGAATGGAGGGTAAGAGAGGAGGGGGGGGTAGGGAGGGGGGTGGAGTGAGGTGGTAGTATTGGGAATGTTGGGGGGGGGATGTTTTGGGGGGTAGTGTTTGTTTATATAAGGGGGGAGAGGGGGATATATTGGAGTTTGGGTATTTAGTTTAAGTGAAAAGGGTTTTGTAAGGGATGATGTATTTTATGTGGGGGAAGGAATTATGGTGGTATGGGAGGGGAGTGTTTATTTAATGTTTGGGGGGGTGGTTTATAATGTTTATGTTGTGGGGGGGGGAAGGGTTGGGGTGATAATATTGAGTTGGTGTTTTGTTAAGTAGTTTTGGATGGAAGATGTAGGAGTGGGGGATGATTGGATTGTGGTTTGATGTTTAGTTGTTTGTGTAGGAGAGGGGGGATGGGTAGATGTTTAGGGGATGTGTTTGTGATTTGGTTATTTTGTGATGTGTGGTAGTGGTGGTTTTGTTTAGAGTATTATATGTGGGTTAAAGATTATAGGTGGGTTGAGGTGAGGGGAGGTATTTAATTAGGATTAGGTTTTAATATTAGTTTTAATTTGGAATAGGATATTTATGAGGAGTTTTGATGTGTGAAGGAATTTTTGG